GAAAAATCAAGGTTTTACTAATTCAAGTCCAAGAAGTCTACTCTTGGTGAATTTCTAAGGGAAAAGGGCTTTTAGTTAGAGAAAGAATTTTTTGAGTGTATTGGGTGATTTAAAAGTGACATATTTCCCATCAAGACTAGAAATTAAAGTTTGCTCTTGACCCATTTTTAATGTCAAAATTACGTTTTCAGAAACAAATGTTGTTCTTGTCTCTTTGCTGTGTTTCTGTGTTAACCTGGCTGTCTCATTAGAGATGGGGACATTTCCTAGTGAAATTAATGTGACATTTAGAGAAAAATTTCTCTCTCAAATGTTTCATGTTATTTGCCATTTAGAATACTTAGAGATGGGACTGGAATAATGTCAAGCAAATTTTGATTAAATAAGGCTAACCAGGAGCTAATATATTCACACACAAAAGTAAAGCTCTGTTATTATTTCTTGAAAAGTCTGTTCCTTCTGTGGTTCTTTGTCATAAGTTGAGATCACCCTGGATAATAAACTTCCAGAAGTTCTAGCATATGATCGGTGGAGAGCATAATATGATAATCAGCTTGAATGAGCAAATGTGGGACATTTGGCCAAAGCCCATAGCTAGTTCTTTGTTTATGACATTTGGACTTCACCATGGAGGTGCATTTGATTTATCAGAGAAACATTAAAAGTAGTATTAATTCCAGGCCAATTATCTTAGCATCTTTGGTACATGATACATTTTTAAAAATTCATGAAGGACCCTAAGTGGGACTCATGGATCTCCCTAGGAAGGGGAATTAGATCTGATCTCCTCAGTAAACTAGGGATGGGAGCAAGGTAGAGGGGAGGGGATGGGGGATGAGAATATCAGGGAATGGGATGGTAGAGCTAAGGTAGGGATGGAGTGGGAGAAAAATGAAAGAGATGTCTTGATAGAGGGAGCCATTATTGGATTAGGGAGAAACCTGGTGCAAGGAAAATTCCCAGGAATCCACATGGAGGACCCCAGCTAAGACTCTTAGCAGTAGTGGAGAAGATGCCTGAACTGGCCCTCCCCTATAACCAGAATGGTGACTCCCCCAACAATCCTCATAGAGTCTTTATACAATAACTGAGGGAACCAGATACAAAGATCCACAATCAAGCACCAGGCCAAGCTCTGGGAATCCAGTCGAAGAAAGGGAGGAAGGAATATATGAGTAAGGAAGATCAAGATCATGAAGGGGAAATCTACAGAGACAGCTGAACCAAACTCATGGAAACTCATGAACACTGAACCAACAACTGTGGAGCCTCCATGGGACCGAGCTAGGCACTCTGTATGTGGGAGACAGTTGTGAAACTTGGACTATCTGTGAGACCCCTGGCAGTGGAATCAGGACCTATCCCTGGTGCATGAGCTAGCTTTTTGGATCCCATTCCCTATGGTGAGATGCTATGCTTAGCCTTAATGCACTGGGGAGGGCTTGGTCCTGCCTTAACTTAATGTACCAGGCTTTGTTGACTCCCCCATGGGAGGCCGTACCCTTTGGGAGGAGTGGATGGGGGTGGGCAGGGAGGAAGGCGAGGGGGGAGGCCGAGTGGGAGGGAGAACTGTGGTTGGAATGTAAAGTGAAATAAAAAAAAATCCTGAGATGATTCTGATATGCACTTAGGGCTGAGAAACACATTTAAGATGTGCAAAATGTTCCAGTTCATTAAGAAAAGATGGCTTCTTTTTCAAGGTGCTCTAAATAACACTCTTCACTCCACCAGATGAAGAAAAAATGATTCTTTCAGTGCACAAGAATTGGATTGAGTACACACCTAGACCCAGCATGAGACAGAACGTCTTTTGTACATATGCGTGTATGTGTGGTAGGCTTGCATGTGTGTATAGGCCTGAGGTTTATGTCAGGCATCTTCCATCAGCCACTCTCTATCTTAGACATTGAGTCATGCTCCTGACTGTTCCCTGGAACTCATGGTTTCAGCTAGTCTGTCTAGTTAGCATGATCTGGGTATTCTCTGTTTCTGCCTTCCAAAAGATTACAGGTAGGCTGCCATGCACACTTGGCTTTTATGTGGGCCAGGGCATGCAGAGTTCACTCTTCATGCTTGTGCAGTATATGGTTTACCTTCCAAGACATCTCCCCACTCTGAGCTAGGATCCTTGATGTTAAACTCAGTTGTTCTGAATGTAGTACTGAAGCTAGTAGTGGATTCTGTTCTCATGTGAATGTTTCTGTTGCATAGATTGTTTCTGTAATTGCAACCAAGCTACTTCTTTATGGGCTGAAACTGTGAAGGTAAAAGACAATGGATGAGTTGGAATAACTCCATTCATTCTGAGAAAGTTGGTTCTAGAATCTGTTTTGCTAGGATGCTGCTATGAATAAATTGTACATTCACATTTGGAGTTTAAGATTCCTAAGACCGGGAAGTTTACTCATTAAGTTTAAAGAAGAGGGAAGATAGAGGAAGACAATAAAGTTCAATGATATTTTTCTACCTTGAATGTCATATCATACCGGTTGCATCTCTCAGTGGTCAGCCAATCTGTGAACCTTGGTGAGTGGGGAGAATTGTTACAGTCATTGTAAACAGGACTTCTAGACTTTACTACTAACTCATTGACAGTGAGTGGGATACCCCATGGTGAGATAGATTATTCCTTTAGGAATTAAAAATATTGATAACATCAGAGATAACATTTGCATGTTTATTTCTCTTTACTCAAACATGTGGTTATTGCATGGCACATGGATGTTAGGTCATCACAAGTTACAGAGATTTGATGCCTTCACCTGTGCATACATGTACATTTTTTTGCTGGAAAGTATGTTTTCCTTAACACAATAGTATGTTAAGTATATTGCTCCTGACTTTTCTCTAAGACCAGTCAATATCTTCTACTTTTCTTTTCTGTTTTTCTAGTGCTTTTGTGTATTTTATATATTTTTCTGCCACTTTACTTGTAAAGATTCAGTAAGTTTGGACTTGTTTCTTCACCAGGATGAAGTACATCTCTGGTTCTACTGTCGATGTCAAACTCCATAGAAAGCAGTGTTGGTGTAGAATCTCATCGTGAGCCTTGACAAATGCTGTTGAATTTCTATTTTGAATCATGTTCCTATGGTTTGTACTTCACATAGAAGGAAACTGAGGCACAGAAAATTAAGTAATTTAACAGATCTTACCATGAGACAAGGAAGTATATCATCAAGTGCTCAGTTTCCTGTTTTGACAGGGTAGCATGAGTTTTTGGAGATGATAACTTCTTGTTGAATTGAGCATTGCAGCCAGGTGGTGGTGGCACATACCTTTAATCCCAGCGCTTAGGAAGTAGAACCAGGAGGATCTCTGTGAGTTCAAGGCCAGACTGGTCTACAAAGAGAGTTCCTAGCCAGGCTACAAAGCTACACAGAGAAACCCTAGGTTGAAAGTCCAAAAAATGAGTATTGCACTGAATATAATTTAAAAACCCATACTTACCACCATTTTGCCCACTGTGTTGGTAAAATTAATTAGATCAAATGTTTCTTTTGTTAAGTGACTTCTGAATAACTTACTATGGTAAATACTAAGGTCATATTTCCAAGACAGTCTCTCTGCTTTTGTCACAATCTCAGCATTTGCTTACTAATCAATGAATTAGAAATGGACTGACCATTCTTTATTCTTTCAAACCATTTCTTCCAATATCATCAGAAGTTACTTGTGATTACACTGAAGGGTATCTAAACATTTAGACAGAAACAGTATAGGTAGGTGGTATATAGGCTGTCTTCAAGTGAGGGCCATGTAGGGAACAAGGACATGTATGTGTAACTACTGGACACTGGTGTGTTTTTGTTTCCTTCCCAGTTCTCTCTCCTGTTTTTCCTCCCAATTCTTTGGTGCCAACTTCCTACCTACTCTACTCTATAGATATCTAGGGCCCCCTTACCTTAACTGTTGGCTGTTTAGTGCCAATGTGGTAGCTGGATCTGCTATTACCTGCCTCATTTTTCTCCTCTATCAAACTGAATCTTTGAATGTAAGGACTGCATCTAACAGTCTACTGCAGTCAATGTCTGACAGGTAGTCATCTGAAAAGAACCTGCTATTTTGTTCTCTAGACAGCTATTGTATTTCCATTTACAGACACTTTCAGTTGAAGTGATTGCTGAAGGTCTCTAAAGAATGGTGGGAATAGCTGAATGGCTGGATGAGGGAAGAGATGTGTTTTGGCAGTTGGAGTTCATACATATCTCAGATACTTCCTTGGCTTCTACCCATTCTAAGGCTGCCCCCCTCAATCTGTCCAGACTCCCAGTGCTCGAAAGCTGTTTTCCCATCTCTTTCATCTTTCAGGTATCCTGCACTTGCTTTTGTAAAGCCCTTGCTCCAGCCAGCTACTGTAACCAGATTACACAGTGGAGTTTTAATGATAGGTGCTGAGACAGGCATTTGCTTGCAAACTTCATGTTTCACATGAAAGGCTTTGGTACCCCCTGTGGACTGCCCTTTACCCTGTTTTGGGCATAATACTTGTTTGCTTTTATATCTGTGATAAAATGAAAGCCATCCTGTGTAACTGATGCTGAGCAAATGTCTAAAAACAAAGGGAAGTGCAGCATTTAAATCCACAGTGGGGGATTACCTTGCCGCATTTCCATATCTTTGGAATAAATATTTTAACATGTTAATTATCTACTTCTAATAAAAATACCTTTGAACTTATAGTCAATTTGATGGGCATAAAATGGTCTCCACTGGGAAATGGGAAGCAATTAGTTTCTGTAATGATTGTGAGTCATGCTGTCTCTTGTCTCTAAGTGGTTACATGGTCAGTAAACAGCCATATTCTAGAGAATGTTTGTATCAAGTCTACCCTGGTCTACAGGAGTAAGATGCTGCTTTTTGAGGGCACTTGGGGGCTCCAATAAGGCATTCATCAAACTGCTGCCCCATTACTGGTTTGCACAGTAAAACAATCCTTTTAAGTAGAACATTTGGACTCTTATTATGAATCATCTTTTAATTTTTTTTTCCTTTTGCAGACTGAAAACTATTCCTTTGACTCTAACTACGTGAATAGCCGTGCCCATTTAATCAAAAGGTATGTTGGTTTGTTTTCACATTCCTACTGCTTAGCTTGATTTAATATAAAAGATCCAAAACATTAATTTTTAAGAACTGTAACCCTTTGGATGGTATAATGAAAGCCTACATGCTTATGGTAGGCAGTGTGGGAAATCCAGAGAAAACATAGAATGTAGGGTTCACTGTTAATTTCTTCACACGAAGAGAACCACTGTTGGCCTTTCATCGTATTTATTTCCATCAGAACATATGCAAAATTAAAAATCAAATTCGGATGACATAAAATATTTTACTGGTGATTTTGGGATAAATATTAGAAAAATTAGAAATCTTTCAAAATCATACTGTTATCCAAATTTTTGTTGCTACCCAGTTTAAATCATATTAGGCATCAACCTTTGTTCTCTTGTGGGGTTGTAGTATGTTCTGAGACTGTTACTTTTTTGACAGTTCTGAAAACTTAAAGATATTTAAATGACAGATGAAATATCTTTTATAATGCTTCCTAGATGAGAGAAGAAAAGAAAAATTTCCAATTTAATACTTGTCAAGGCATTTTGAAATGTTTTGTTGAAATCTGAAATATATATAATTGGCTGGTTACTTGGCTGGATTTTGAGTACAAAGCAGAGGTGAACATTGACAAGATTCCACCTGGTATGGTGGGCCCTAAATTCTTGCAATCGGGAGTAGGATGAAGTTAGGCAGAGCAAAGCAAAGGAGAGAACTTTGTGAGTAGCAGTTCCCAGTAGCTGACCATTCAGATGATGCCTTTATTTCTGTTTCATATAAATAGCCTCTTGAATGGTCCAGTGGGTTACTCTTCAGTTAAAATTGAACACTGACTATGTTTGTTAAAATAATAGCAATAAAACAGAGGAGCAAACAGGGTATATTATATCTGCAGTGGAAAAGATCTGAGAATTCTATTATTTTGCTGGCCGTAATCCTATAAATTTATTATCACTGTAACAGTTCAATTCAAAGTGGAAACAAGGTCAGGCAGTGGTAGTGCATGCCTTTAAACCCAGCACTTGGGAGGCAGAGGCAGGCAGACCTCTGTGAGTTTGAGACCAGCCTGGTCTACAAGAGCTAGTTCCAGGACAGCCTCTAAAGGCATAGAGAAACCCTGTCTCAGAAACGCCCCCAGCCACCACCACCACCCCCAAAAATGTGAAAGCAAAATCACTGCTTATTGTGCAAGAAACTTGAATTCACATCTAGCTTAATTTATGATGCTGCAGTAACCCCTGAAACTGTGGTAGATTTATGTGTATTGGCTTGAGCTAGCTTGTGACCTTAAGTGATGATCATTAGTCTTAAAATGGCTATCCTTGTATTACCAGTCATAGCATAATTTAGAAAATTTTGCAATTGTTGGGAAGAATCCTCTGAACAAAAGGTAAGGAATTGAAAATTATCTAAGCAATTTATTTTAGGAAGAAAGAAAAAGCCTTGTTATATGTACTGATTAGAGGGACTTTGCAGGAAAATACTGCTTTGTTTCCTACTTCAGGACTGTTATTTTCAAAGCTTCTTTTTGAACTGGTAAAAACAGTGGCTTGCTTGATCCTTACAGGTCTCTGGAGATAGCTTGTTCTGGGTACCTAGAAATTCTCTGACTAGGTTAAACTGATAACATGAGCCTGATTTTTATAGCCTAGTAGAAGGCTAAGACTCCTGGGGACCTGCACATCTTAGATCAGCTCCAAATACCCAACTTATAAGGCAGACTTATGAGATAAAGACTTATGTTAAAGCATTTAGCTTTGGGGATACATGTATTTCCATGACAGCTTTGGGACTTACTGGAAACCTCTGATTTTGATTAATTACTTTACATATTTTTTTTATATACACATGCGCACAAAAGCCACATCCTGGACTGAGTGAGCTCTTGGAGGAAATATCTCCAGATGTGGCCTGAAATCAAAGATACCAGTTTATTTGCCAGGGACCACCTAAATAAGAGGAAACACCTGAAAGCTTGGGAACACATACAATTTTGTAAGGTCTTAGTAATTATGGGGCCAGTTTCATTTAGACAAATGCCAATACTTAGAAAAATACAGGATATTTTGTGTGCTATCTTTTCAGGAGAATAACAATTACAAGTACAAAACTGATAGAAACTGCAGTGGTGACTAATGTAACTGATCCCAAGGGATAAAGCCGTGGGGAGACTGATCAACTGGCTCACTAAGATGTTTAAGAGATGTATATATTTTCCTGAAGACCCATATTTGTAAAAAGCTCACAGACAGGAAATTTTGAATCTTGTTATCAGTCTTAATAATATTAGAAAATCTATGAATTTTTAAAACATCAGGCAAAGTTTAGCCTAATTCTTAGAATCTGTTTCCTATACGTTTTATCATCTTATATTCAATTTCTAGTTATCCAAGAACATTTTTTTTTGGCTTTTCAAGACAGGGTTTCTCTGTGTAGCTTTGGAGTCTATCCTGGCCCTCACTCTGGAGACCAGGCTGGCCTCGAACTCACAGAGATCTGCCTGCCTCTGCCTCCCTAGTGCTGGGATTAAAGGTGTGCGCCACCAACGCCCGGCCTCCAAGAACACGTCTTAGAATGTTGTTTTGGGCTTTCTTGGTCAGACTCTTTTTTTTTCCTGTACTACCCCCCCCCCAACTAAAACCCTACCTATGGCATATCCTTTTTTCTAATCTATATCTTGGTCAGAAAGATACACACAGACACTTTTTATTCTTTCACACCTGTCTACATTTGGTAGTTGAGCACTGGCCATGTCTGGTCCTTTCTTGTAACAGTCAGGATTTCTATGTGAAATAGTAAAAAGATGGAGAAAAGATGCACTTCATTTTTCTGATTAAAGGAGTTGAAAATACTACCGAAAATCCTCATCAAAAGAAACACGGGAGGAGTAATAATGACTTCTGGTGAGTTGAGGGTTGTGGTCTTGAAGAAGTGATTTCATAGGACAGTCAGCACCTTAAACTCCATCTTGTGCTGTCTAATTTTCTATTATTGGCATCCATGTGTGATTATCTCAATAGAAATCCAAAGGCAAACAAGGTTTCATAGACATGAATCAAAATTGAAAAGCATGAGGAATGGATCTGGAAGGGAAAAAGAAGGTCTATGATTCCATATCATTTTCTGTGGATCCATATCATTTTGTGTGGAGGAATTCCAACATTATATCTCTGCAGTTTAATATTTTTTTCTATAACATTATAACAAACAGAAGATATATCCAAGGTAGTTTCTGAGAGAATCCCAGCTTAGCAAACTGAGTGAGGTGCGGATTTTTTTCTGAGTCACATTTTCTTCCCACTATGTTTGTGTCCTTGTTATCTTCTCAGAGTGAGGACAGCCAGCAGTGCTACTTTGCCGTGGTTGCAGCATTCTTTCCTCAAGCCTGCTCTCTGCACTGCTGGCTAATATCTACTCCTGTAGTGCTTTTGGAGCCATATCAAGCAGAACGTGAGGCTGCAGCTCAAAGAAAATACAATAGTAATTGAGCAGCAACACATTAGAAGCAGTTTAGAAAGGAAAATGAACCCTGGCTTCTAAGCCATGCATGGTGATTTTCTTTACTGCCAAAACTCTCCTAGAGTTCTGTAGCATCTGGTATGTGCCATGTATATAGCAAATATTTGGTGTGTGTTTTTCAGATAAATAGGAAAAAGGAGTGGAAAGAAACATCATTTTCCCATTAAAATGAAGCAGCAGTAAATGTTCTTTTAAAACAGCCATTTCTAAACAATGGTGTGCATCTGTAAAGGCAGTCTTTAACCCCATCCTTGGAGAAGCTTCTATTTTAACAGGTTCCTAGGTGATTAATGATAGAAGTGGTCCAGGAAACATTCTAGATTACACTTCCTTAAAGCCAGTTACAATACTCTTTTGACTTTCTCTTCTTAATTGCAAATGACATTCCCTATGTATGTGGGATACCTATTGGAATCTCCATACTTTCAGATTCTTCTGTCTTTTGCAAAAGTAGTATTTTAAAGGGCACACATAGGTTAGTATTAATGTAATGTTCTTTCATCAAGCATATATAGAGAAACTCTTGTATATAGAACCCTGTTCTATACACCTGTTCTAGGTGTTTAAAAATGAACTTGTACCTCTGTTGGCCACCAGAGCAGTAATAGAAACATTTGCATTCACAATATGATTGGAAACAGGTGCCCCTAATTTATTGTCCCACAAAAGTTGTTTTACAAGTTTCTCATCTCCCAAGAGGCACAGAGGTAATAAAGCAAGTGAAATCAGCATTTTTTATGCCTGGCATAAATTGTTATTTGTTTTGGGTGAGTAGCCATTTACCAGGCTGTTTTACTGTTTGCTCACTGGTTCTTAAACTGCCTTACACAAATCCATTCATTAAGCCACTAAATGTCCTTACAAGATCACAGTAAGTGGTACTTAGTTTGTGAGATCAGCAAACTGATCTTTAGATGAGTTAACTATCCCAAGGTTTGAGAGGGTAGTGGTTATACCTTTGATTTTTCTTTGATTGCTCACACTAGCAGTTCCATAGATCCTAGTAGCTAATCCTTCAGTTTTAATATTTATATCTTTTTTGAGTATTTGTTTATTTATTTTACACACCAACCATAGTTTCCCCTCCCTCCACCTCCCATCTTCTTTCCACCCACTCCTCCATTCAGAAAGGGACAGGCCTCCTGTAGGAGTCAACAAAGCATGCATATCAAGTTGAGGCAGGACCAAGCTTCTCTCCCTGCATCAAAGCTGTTTGAGACATCCCAGCATGGGGAACGGATTTCAAATAGCCAGGTCATCTGTCAGGTATAGATCTTGGTCCCACTGCTAGGATCCCCACAGGAGACCAAGCTACACAATTGTCACCCAGATGCAGAGGGCCTAGGTTTGTCCCATGCAGGCTCCCTAGCTGTAGGTTCAGAGTCCATGAGCTTCCAAAAGCTCAGGTCAGCTGTCTTTGTGGGTTTTTACATCATGATCTTGACTCTCTCGCTCATATAATCCCTCCTCCATCTCTTCAGTTGGACTCCCAGACCTCAGTCCAGTTCTTGCCTGTGGATCTCTGCATGTGCTTCTATCAGTTACTGGATGAAGGCTCTATGATGTCTTTTTTTTAAAAGCAGAAACAAACAAACAAAAAGCAGAAGGCCTGAGGTAGATTGCAGCATTCTGATGCATCTAAAACAGATGACCAAATTTTTAAAAGGCAGATCTAAAACCAATTAGAAGCGTGATAGAAATCACCAGCTTCCAGGGAGATAAGATAACTCAGTGCAATTAAACATTATGCTTAGCTTGAAGATTTTGAGAAGCCAAGACAAAATGAAAAGTGCATCAAGTCATATAGTTTTTAATCATTCGATAAAGCAAGGACACATTTTTGACAGGAGAGATATTTTTCTGTTTCTGAATTTTAAGTGAAATAGAATGGGCAATGGCTGGACAGTTGCTTTCAGAAGATAGGAACATTCATTAAATAAATATTCTCATTCCAATCTCAAAAATACCATAGCCATACTGTTTAAATATAATGTGAATGAGGCATTATAATACAGAGTAATAATCGTTTTAAATAATGATAATTTCATTGAACATCTATTTCTATCTGGCTCTTCATGCAGAGTATTTCCCTGAGTCCTCAGAATGGTTTTGTGAGGGAAACAAGGAAATTGAGGATTAGATATGGAGCCTAGCGCCACATAAACAAAGTGGCAGATTGTGGGTTATCACTTTCCCTAATAATGCCAAGTTCAGTGCTTTCTCTTGCATACCATGTTACAGGAATACTGGTGAAAAAATGTAGAACAGTTTGTTCTAACTGAGGGTGATATGGCAGTGTATTCCTGGAGAGATTTTTCATTGTTCAGGTTGGTGGGGATCATCACTGGCATCTAATGGGCAAAGGCCAGTAGGCCCATTAAATATCTCATAAGGCACAGGACGTACACAACAAAGAATTATGTGACCTAAAAATTCAGTAGTGCCAGGATTAAGAAGCCCTATGCTAAGGGATGGCCAATTACATTTGTCTTTAGACTATTTCATTCACCATCATATATCTCAAGCAAATTTTGGCAACTGCTGAAATACATTCAATTTAGACGTGAGTTCTTTGGCTCAACACGGCAGTTTTGTGCTGAGGATTTAAAGAGCTTTTCATTATGTTTCAGAACCAGATGATATAGGTTGAGAGGCTCATATTTGCTGTAAAAATGGAGCAGCCTGTAATATCATCTAGGCAGGTTGTTTGTTCTCTCTTGAGGTATATGAGTGCAGGGCCAGTTTTTGTCTCTAAAATACAAACTTTGAATCTATTTAAACTTTGGATTAGTATATACAGGAAGCCAGAGGGTCTGTACCATGAAGCTAGAAATGGTGAAACACCTTTAAAACATGAGTTTCCAATTGTTTTTTTTTTTACCATAAAAGAATTGTAGGATTTTCTTAAATAGAACTGCATTCTGGTAGGTTGATAGGACCGAGTTATTTCTGTGACATAATTTGGAGGAGCTGAGTGAACTGCCCTGTTGAGTGACTGGATTTTAGTGACTTTGATGCTCAGATATATTTTCTGAAATAATTAACAGGATAGTACCTTACATCATCAAAGCCTTCATTTTGTAATAATCATGTCTTTCCATTACTGCTCTCTTGACCCTTCACTTTTTGTATTTATGTCACCAAGCATTGAACATCTAGGTTAGTCATGTGTTAATTTTCTGTGTGCTTCCTTCAGGACAAATGTGTAGAGTGACAGTGTATCCTTGTTTCCATGGCATAGCTCTTTACCAAATGTAGTAAATGTGCTTATGTCTCTGACAGGCAGGTCTGGGAATGTTCAAAGTTTAAGATGTTGACTCATGCAGTTGTGGAATCTTCAGAAATTCTGTGCTCTGTCACCAATAAGCTAGAAGGTCAGAGAAGATGATGGTATAATTTGAAAGCTTGAGTATTAGAGACCCAGTTATAGAGATTTCAGTCTGAGCCTGAAAGCCTGAAAATGAGGAGCACTGAGTATGGGAGAATATTATGTCCCAGGTCAAGCAGAAAGGATATTCAACCTTTTGCCTGTTGTTCTTTTCAGGTCTTCTTCAATGGATTGGATGAGTCCCACCAACACTGGGGAAAGATACATGCTTTACTCAGTTCTTCAATCTAAATGAAAATCTCTTCAACTAACCCACTCAAAGAGACATTCCCAAATAAGGCTTAACTAGCTACCTGAATCACCCTTTGTCCAGTCAAATAGACACATAAAATTACCTCAAACACGGGCACCAACAGTTTCCTCAGCTATTGCCAGTCCTCCTTTTCTTTGAATTGGTCCCTTTGCCATTTTTATTCAAAACTGACAGGGGAGACTTGTGTTGTGGTAGTTTAAGTTTTTAATCCCAGGATGGCAGGAGGAGGCTGATGAAGGGGTTTATCATAAATTCAAAGGACAGTGGGGGCTATCTCTCAAGTTCCAGGTCAGCCTGGGGTACAAAATGAGATTCTGTCTTGGAAACAAAACAAGCAATCAAACAACCAGGAAATTGACCTGGTTTCTCCAATCCTGATCATCCTTTTAATTTTAATTACACTACCTCAATTTCTGCCATTTTTGCTTTTTATATTTGATGATTAGTAGATATCTCTAGAGAAGCAATTTACATAATAGTTAAGATTTAAGCACTGAAACTTGACAGGCTGGGATTGATCTTAGATGTACTACACTTTTTTTTTCCAGCAGTGTGACCTTGGGCAAACTCTTTAATGTCTATGTATCTCTGTTATCTCATCTACAAATAGTAATATTATTATCACCTTTTCCTTATACAGCCCGAATGGCTTAAAAAATTAATGTTGCTCTCTTAAAACAGTAACTCAAAAACAGTGATTTCTCATAAAAATATTGTCTGTTTCTACTTGACTTTAACTGTATCGGAATAGAAAAACTGCAATGGTTTCACTCTTTAGATGTGGTTTTAGATTTCTATCTTCTCTCTTCCACCTTGCCTACAGTGAAGCACTAAAAGGAAGCAAATGAAAATATTAGCTGTATCAGCATCCAATATTGAAAACCTCTCTTTATTGTTAAGTTCCATTATCTTCAAACAGAAATGTCTCTCCTCCATATTTTTACCCTTTTGGACAATCTAGCCACTGCTGGCCTCCTTACAGAGCTGACATCATCCTGGCTTGGAACAGTCTTAAAAATCAGATCTATCACAGTTGTAAATTAATATACTTTTTTCAACCCAGCAGCTCCACCTTCAAGGACCTGGAGGGCAACAGCCTGAAGGATAGTGGACATGAGGAGAGCGACCAGACTGACAGTGAGCATGATGTCCAGAGGAGCCTGTACTGTGATACTGCTGTGAATGATGTGCTGAACACCAGTGTGACCTCCATGGGATCTCAGATGCCTGACCACGGTAAGGGATGGGCAATATTAAGTCGCAACTATGTGTTCCAAAGAAGCCAGAGTCTTTCTAGACACATTGTACCACTTTACTGCAGTGCACATGTCAGCAGCATCTAGAGAGATTTTCGGTGTTATGACATCTATCAGGATAAATCTACCTCCTTATGAAATGTTGGGGCATTTTATAAGGTAATTAAGGTTACTGGATCCACATTCCTTTTTGATAATAACTGCATTGAGCACATAGGAAGTAAGCAGATGCTTTCTCATCAGGAATAAATGGCTGTTATACTATAGTGCATGGATCCAGCTGATCAATTAAATATCATAGAACACCAGCTCTAATCAGACTAGAGGGATGGGGTTTATTTTTCTGCTAGTCTGGAGAACTTTTTTCTCTGCCCACAGATTTTTGTAGTCTTTTTCTGAGGACAAAAACTGCTAGATTTTCATTTTGCCTATTGGGCTGCTATTCCAAAACCATGGAGCTACTGCAGAAGTCCATGCCATTGGTCATAGGCGAGACAGTCTAAGATAATATGATGGAGTCAGTACAAAGCCTTCTGGTATTGCGAAATGAGTGAGTGGCAAAGCACATGTCAGGAGACACATACTCACATATGAAAAGCTTCTATTTGTATGATCCCAGACACAAGTACTTTTGAGAAGACTTGTTCTTTAAAACTGTGGTGGGCAGAAACCAGGGCATGAAAACACCAGCAGAGTTCAGTTAAGGCAGATTGTTCATATGGACTTGGGCACAAATGTCATTTTCAATATTTTCCTGATGTAAACATGGTATGCAAACAGCCTGTCTTTCCCAATTAAGAAGTATGAATTCAATTTGGTGTTTAGGCTCAGTGAAGCTTCAGAATGCTTGGCTGTCTTGAGAAAAGCTAGTCTCATGCTCAGCTGGAAGCCCTACTGCTAAAAGTCTTAAAGACGAGAAAACAAAATATGGTGATTACGTGCTGGTCTTCAGCTGTCTCATTTCACTGTAAACATCATTAAACGCTTTTGTTTTGGTTTTCTAAATGAATCCAAAAAAATGCATGATTCACAAAACAAAATGTTTTTTATGGAAAAAAATTAGCCACTGTAGATTCTATTAAATTGTCTAATCCATTCCCTCTTCAGGACACTCAAGTGTCAAAGCCTATAATATAGAGAGGCCACTAGCAATTGTACCCTGCTTCTTTCCTTAATTGGAGAGTGGTGACATCTGCAGAGATAATATACTTTCTCGGAAACCTTACTATATGACTGAGGATGAAAAATTAAACATTTATATAGCTGAAAAAGAGGCAATTTAATTCTCAGAGGATACCGACAGATATGTATCATTTCCTACTCATGTGTTTCTCAAAGAAATGTGTTCTTCATTTAGATCAGAAAGGTTTTCTGTTAGATTCTCTCTAAAATGAAATAACTCCAGGAAAGAAAATAGTTGTAATTGATTCTCGCTTTATGCCTGCCTAGACCAACATCTGTTTTATTTTTTTTTTGTCACATTTCTGGAGGAAAACAATATCAGTGGGTTGCAGCTAGATGTTCTGAGTGTTTGTTACAAATGGGTTGCATTATGTACTGTGTAGATTGAATATTAGAAAACAAATATGTGATAGTATCCAAAGACTCTCTTAAATAAAAAAATGATTTCACACATACTCATGCACATAGACACATTTTTTGATATCCCATTTTGACAACATATTTACATTTTGTTTTCTGGTATTTGATTTACATGCTTTTATTTTCATTTTTTATTGTTCCAACAATGGCTAAACTTTGAGCCAACCCTTGACCTGGTCCTTTCTAGTTTGAGTGGCAAAAGGAATTGAACTCTTGTTTACATCCCAGTCTTTACCTGTGATACCCCATAACATCTGATGATTTTATGATGATATGTAACTGTGTATTCCACATCAACTCCTGGCTTGCCACAGGAACTGTGTCACCAGTTACCTCTTAGGTTGATTATTCTACTGCAACAGCTAACAGCTATTCCAACCATTAGCATTTTATAGTATTTATTGCCCCAAATCTGCATTCATGTGAGTGTATCTTGTTTTATCCTAAGGTTCAGTAATTGAAAGATACTCAATGGGTTGCTTGATCTTGGACTGAATCTGATACTTCTCTTAGTTTGTGAGAACCATTACAACATCATACCAAATGCTACCAAGGAAGGTCACCTTACACCTCTGTATTGGGGACTTTGACTAACCTTGGATGTCGTAACTGTCGACATTTTTAATGAAATTTCTACTTTCAACATTAGTATTGCCTATTTTTCTGTACATGTTCGGTCATTTGTTTGATGGGAAATCACAGCAATATCAAACTAAAAATGATTTTATGTACCCATTCTTTCCTTGAGCATGCAGGAATGGCTTGTTTATGATCTCATATGTATTGTTAATATTTTAAAAGGTACAAATTATATTTGGTCCACTCTTTTTGAGAGACATTGGAGCCCCAGGTTCATTGTACTGCCCCAAGTTTCTTCAGTATTTTTATAAATTTGCTACAGCATAATAATGCTCAGTGTGAATGACGAGGTGATTTTCTGTCTTAAGTATAGGCCCAAATATCTCAGTTTTCAGTAACTTTTCTATGATAATCTTTCTAGAAATACTGTGTTCAATGAAGGAGGAGACTATTTAAAAGACTTTCAAATTCAAAGGTCAAAACCTTTGTTACTGCAGAGTATGTATTGTGTTTTGATGACTTCACACAAATATATTTGTGAGCTGGGTCAGAATGGCAACAAAGGAATGACAAGAGTCTCTGCTTTCTACATTACTTTCAACCCTGGCATCTCTCTTAACAAGTTTGAAACCAGGTCAGGATGTGGGTGAACTTGCTGAGCTTAATTCGGTGGTTGCCACAGAATTCCAAATTTATTTGCCATCCATCATGCCCATGAATTAATGTGGCTTATCTAGGTTTGTCCCCAGCCCTCTGGATCTTGTGGCTTTCCAGAAAGGAAGATAATGGAACATTCTTTAACATGTGCTTTCTCTTGACACACTGTACTGTTTAGAATATTATCTCTCAATTGGTCTCAAATTACCTTGAGAACAAGTAAGTGTTGCCACATTTGGCAGGCTTATCTTCTGACTTGACTCCTGAGGTGATGTGATGCTGAACTTGGAAGTCATAATCACATCTCTTAACCAATGCTTTCCCTATCTGATTTTATTCAGTAAATTTACAACCTTGTTGAGAAGATAAGAATATTGACTCCTTTAATGCCTGAGATAGACAAGAAGGGTGGCGAGAGATGGCAGTGGCTCATGGTTTTGTTGCATAATTGAGAGAATTACCAGATTTAATCTCTCCGTAGCCATTGTTTCTCTGAGATGAGTACTGCTGGGGCTAGTAGACATTTTACTTCCCTCTCACATTTTATGCAATGTCATTTGTGGTGATGAGGACATTGCATTATCTTTAAATGTGTAATATGGATATGAAACTGAAGTTTATGGGGATCATAGCTTAGAACTGTGCACTAGTTCCAAGCCCAAGTAATTTGTTTCAAATCACTGAATTTCCTTCCTTATGATTTTAATTATTGATTATAAATTCATCTACTGAAAAGATGACTATAATTGCTCTAATATGCACCTAATTTGGAGTTCACTACAACACTTAGTTGGTTTCCTTCCCACACTAATTGACATCAAATAGAAGCAAGGCACAGAAATTTAGAGTGATGTTGATCTGTTTTTCACATCCGAACACACCCAAATGCAAGATAATCATTGCTCTTTTGGAAAGTGTTAAGTTCTTCTGCATTTTATTTAACTTGTTTATTTACAAAGCTTATCACCTAAATATCAGTCACCATATTTTCTGCATAAAACATAGATCATAAGAACTTGATTTGCACCTAATGTGACTGCTGCTACAAAGTCATGATGAAAATGTCCCATAGTCTACATTCCATGCACAGACTGGTGTCAACCACAAGTATATTAAGATGTTTGCACCCTCAACACTGTAACACCAATGTGAAATTTCATTTTCTTTAGTCTTTTAGTGAAATTATAATTCAGTGACTGAACATCTTTATCTCCTTATCTATCTCCCAACTTCCCTCTCACCTCACTAAATTTCCAAACATTCATGTCAATTAATCTCTTGACAAAACAAGGATGTCTCAGTGGAGAATATTTTGTGACATTGCAAAGCAGTGTGCTGCTTGGCCCCAGAAATTGTAGCATGGACCAGATGTTCATAGAGTAATTGAAAATTCCATTTTATCAGAATAGCATTCGCTGTCAAAAAGTTTTATCTTTACTTCAACAAAGAGGTTGATTAGATCCCCCTGGACCTGAATTAGCATCTTTGAGGCTAGATATACTGTTTTGCAATTCATGTGATTATTTCATCCCTAGTTTTGCTCCTATAGAAACCTTTAGAAATGTCTTCATCTTTTTACAAATGTACACATTGAAATGTTTAATTATTTGAACATAGGATCACATTTACAATGTTGCTACAAATATATCAATCAGATTGATTCATCCTTCCCCAAGTAGTATAGTATTTTGATATTGAACAGGAATAACACACACACAAAACACACTAATATTTCATGTAAAATATAAAAAATCATACTCCATTTATTTATTATGTATTTGTGTGTGTGAGAGAGAGAGATAAAGAGGAGAGAGGGAGACAGAGGGAGAGGGAGAGGGAGAGGGAGAGGGAGAGAGAGAGAGAGAGAGAGAGAGAGAGAGAGAGAGAGTGTGTTTTCAAGCATGTGGTGATAAACATGTTCAGGTCAGAGGACAACTTGGGAAGTTGGTTCTCTTCTTCTACCCTATGGGTCCTGGGGAAATGAGGCTTGGCAGTAAAAGCCTATACCTGCTGACCCATCTTGCCATTTGTCACTCAACAATATTTTTGAGGTGTATGGCATTGGAGATTGAATGAGTTAACTCTGCTGTTATTGACTGCCAAAGTACCATGCTTTGACTTATTTAGGGTCTACTGAGATGA